GCGCGGCACCTGTCACGCCCCCGCGCCACGCCCCCCGGCCACGCCCCGGCCCGGCCGAGGGGTGATTTTGGGCCGAGCCCCCGAGGCACCCATAGGGCGCCGTTCGTGTAGCAGCGTCTGCTGCAGCCAATAACGACAGACACAACACACAAGCTCTGACAGCAGGTGCAGGATGGGGAAAGAAGGTGGATCCCTTCAAACCTTCAAAACCAAAAGTTCTGAAACATCTTAAAAAATCCTGTTAGAAACCATTTCTGCATTGGACACCATGAACACTGTTTGAGTCCTGGGAGGCTTCTGGACAAACAATGTCCTTGATAAAGCTCTGACGAGGGTATCACCCCTGCCCAAGAGAACACCAATGCCAGAGACAGTTCGCACCAACTCCACTACAGGCTAAAGACCTTCTGCTACAGCGCTGCCCCACAACTGCTGCAAACCGTGAGCCAGGTACTGGGGACAGCAACATTCAGAGTGAGCATTTTTTTCTAAGACAAAAGAGAAATAGCATGGAGGAGACTGACTGTTATTGTTTAGTAATACTATTCCCCAATTTAGTGTTCCACTGAAACACTCCAAACCACACACTGCTTACTCCCCCTTCCACCTGCTGCAGCAGGCTGGAGAGAACTGGAGGCACAAAATGTAAAGAACATAGGTTGAGATAAGAAAAATTTACTAGAAACAGCAGTGAGATAAGAAACAAACAGCAACAGCAATAATATTAATAAGAGTGTACAGGAGAAGCGAACGATTCGCACACGATTTTTAACCATGTGAAATGACTGCTCGCTTCAGGCTACCAACCAGAAGGGACCCTTCTGCCCTTCCCCTCACCCCTGCACATGGCATTGAGGTGGTATAGAATAACCTCCGGGTCCTGGCCATGCCCCTCCTGGCTACTGCAAAAATTAACCCTGTCCTGGCCAGAGCCAAGACCCTGATGTTCAGCACTGCCAGACTACAGCAGCCCGGTCAGTTCTTCTTGCTCTTGTTGGTGAACAGACTGACTTTGCTAGCGGATGCCACAGACAGAGAAGGAGATTCCAGCTTCACCTTGTCCAGCAAAGTTTTCTTTATGGCTGCCGGGGAGATCTTCTCTTGGTCTGCCAAATGCTGAAGCTCTCTGCAATGGGGTGGTGGGAGAGGAAGACAGCAAAAGGAACATGGGGAGGGTGGGGGGCAAGTTTTTAAGGCTCTTTAGGACTTCCTAGGTGCCCACCTTGTCCGGATGCAAGAAGCCTCCACAGCATTGATGAGGAGTGAGCGAAAGCCACCACTCTCCAGGAAGTGCAGGGCATGGATAGTGGCTCCCCCGGGCGAGCAGACATTGTCCTTCAGCTGACCAGGATGCTGCTCAGACTCTAACAGCATTTTGGCAGCACCCTGTAGCAAGGAAAACAGCTGCCAGAGCTCTGACTGAGGAAGCCGCTGTCACACACTCCTGTTCTCCACCGCACAGAGCAGCACCAACACTCACAGCAGACAAAATTGGGCTCCTGCAGGCTGCCAAAACACTTTTCAGAGCTGAAGAAGCCTGCAGAGGAGCCACAGTTTCCCAGGCCCCAGCTCCCACATCACCACCAGTGCCAGCAGATTGCTGCAGACACTTCCTATGGTCCCTCACTGGGAATCTGTGTGCAGTCAAACCAAACACGTTCTTTAATGTAGATCCAGCGAAAGGACCAAGATAACCTAAACCGTGACGTGCAGAATCCTCTGCACAGAGCAAGCACAGACTCAGATTTGTTCTGGAGGAGGAAATACTGACCAGCAAAGCCTGTGCTCCGAGTCGAACAGCCAGCCTGCGGGGAAGGCCCATCTTCACTCCCCCATCTGCAAGAGCATCCAGGGCAGTGAACGCCTGAGACCAGACAGAGGAAGAACATGACTGCAAGTCTCTGCTCCAGGACTGACAGTCTCGGGTAGGAGAGAATCCAGAGCTCCAGGATCATGCTGTGACTCTTTCCACTTACAGACTTGACAAAAGCCTCCCCCTTTACTGCATGGGTGCCATGTCAGCCTTCCCTCCCACTGGTTCCAGCTCAGGACTGGGGGGAATGGGAGAAGTTCAGCTTCTGCATCATGCTAACTACAGGCCTATGTTTTGCAACATGGACACATGGACACTGCACACTGGCTCACACTTCAGACTCATCTGACTGGTAACAGACCTTTTCAGTTGACCCAAAATGGTTGTAAACTGGATACCCACACTACATGTCCCATTGCAAATGTGAGTGATGGGAAAAACAAGAAATAACAAGCTGAATTTTCACAGGCTTTACAGTGGGCAAAGCCAACTGCTCTGCCCGAGACTGTCACAAGTTGAGGAAACAGCACATACATACGCAGGGCCACTGCCACTGAGCCCCGTTACAGCATCGATCAGGTCCTCTTCCACCTCGGTGCAGAAGCCCACGCTGGCCATCAGTTGTTCCAAGAGCTTCCCATCCTCCACATCTGCATGAGTTCCAGTGGCATAGACTGTAGCACCTTCCCGGACAATCACAGGGGTGTTGGTCATGCACCTGATCACTTTTGGTGTGGGGCAGAAGGTACAGAGTTTCTTAGGGCAGAAAATAATTGGAGACAGAAAGTAGGAAGAAAACAAATAAGGGGAAAAATTAGCTTTAGTGCACATTTAGCATCAATGGGCTGTCCAGGAAAGAACTCCCAATGGGCAAGAACAACACAAGCAAAGGGAAAAGAGAGACTTGGTACCCTAAAGACCGTGCTTTGAGCCACAGTAGCCCATATATGAATGTGAAGCCTTTGGAAGTACCAGCGAAGAGGGACCTGGGCAGAGCCGGGCTGGGAACAGTATCCCAAAGGCCTCATTCCCACATCAACCCATAGGTCTCCAAAACAGCTCCTGCAGACACTTAGCATAAAGTCAGCAGAAATTCAGGGGTGATGACCCACTGCTGTTGAGAGAAACATGATCCGAGAGCACCTTATGTGAGGGAAGAGTTGGATAAAACCTCTAATAGCGTTTTCTGATGAGGACAGGCAAGGTGACCGAAAGCAACCAGTTGGCTGCTGCTGCGTGACTTTAGTCCTGAGGAGCACAAGTAACGCCTGTCCCTTGCATCGGTTCCTAGGGGCCAGAGAAGTGGGGCCAGCTCACGGCCGGCACCGCACGGCCCGGCCCCCCCTCACCTTCTCGATGGAGCTGATGGTGACGCCGGCTGCGCAGGAGACCACGATGTGCCGGGCCTCGATGTCGGGGCCCACCTCCTCCAGGATGAAGGGGATAATGGGCGGCTTCACGGCCAGGAAGAGGACATCGCTGCTCTTCACCGTGTCCTTGTTGCTCACCGTGAAGTTCACGCCCATTTTCTGCACCGGTTGGAGAGAAACGGGACCGCTGAGGTCGGCGGGGACCCGGCGGGCGGCACCGCAACCCGGACTTCGTCGCCCGTCCGCACTCACCCGCAGCCCGCTCACGGTGGGCAGGTCGGTGTCCGGGGAGCTCGCTGTGATCTTGTGCGCAGCCAGGACCCCTGCGAACGGCATCGATCATCAGCCCGGAGGATCG